ACATTGTGAGCACTTGGAAAAGTTTCCACACCTAGGCATAAAAAGAGAAATATTTGTGATCTCTGTTTACCCTATTGTTTTCCATCCACATCTTCGAACCACTGATCTCCTCCTCTGCCTCCTTATTTCTCTCTTCATCTATTACACTGCCTTCGTAGGGAACGACTAAAAACACTTTTTTCCTAATCAGTTCATCTCATTGCAATCTTTTGAACTTCTAAAGACATATTGATCAAGATTACATGTTTATCTTCCTATTGCATTGCCAAAGGAATCCTTGAAGAAGCAAAGATTAAAGAACATTCTGGTCAAATGAATGTACTTTCCAGATGAATGTACTTTCGAGATCTATTAGATTGTGGATGGCATTAAGAGATGTAACGATGGGAATGCTTTGTTCCAATGCCACTGTGTTATTTAGAGTGTTGCTGAGGCTTCGTCTTTGAACTTGTATGCCAATTCTACTTTCCCCTCCTACTTTGGAAGGCCAGTGTTCTGCCCACCTCTAATTAACAGTTCAAATCAAATTGGCAGCTTGAAAAAGAATGCCAGTATTGAGTGATAAAGTGCCTTGAAAACAATTGTGCAGTAGACAATATGTATTTTGGATTTAGTTCCTTTTTTTTAATATGCAGTCATCTTTTTTTAGGATGAGAAGCATGGCTCTGACAACTTGCTGGAGATGAAAATAAATCCCGGTCACAGTAGTAACCTTTAAAAACTTTTGTCCCTGCTTTTGCTCACTCTTATGCAAAGGAAAGATTCAAGACAGGGTTGCCTAACTTTGAATTCTTTATATTAGTTATAATTTGCATGTGATTGGTGTTGTTATTATGTGCCGTCAAGTTGCCTGTGACTCATAGCGACCCTGTGTACAACAGCTCTAAACCCTGCTCTATCCTGTGCCAACCTATTGTCTCTGACACATCTATCCCCATTACCCCAGACAATGAATCGATCCACCTCATAGAGGGTCTTCCTCTACTGTGCTGTCCCTCCACCCTCCCTAACATGATTTCCCTTTCCATGGACTGGTCCCTCCTTGCAACATGTCCAAAGTTTGTCAGATTAAGCTTTAGAATCCTTGCCTCCAAAGAGCAGCCTGGTTTCACTCTCTCCCAGGCAAACCTGTTTTCTTAGCAGTCCGTAAGTACACTCAATACTCTTCTCCAGCAACACAGCTCAAAGGCATCAATTTTCCTTTGATCATCCCTAGTCATTGTCCAGCTTTCTGATGCATACCATGTGATTAGAAAAGAAAAAGGGTTTGCATAACTACCAGCTCTCCTTTTGACACCGCACCACCACCACCACCACCACCACCACCACCACCACTTACCAAATGCTTTCTGTACAGGGTAGTTCTTGTCCCCATCTTCCTCAGGCCTTTCACTGACCTTCTTTTGGAGAAGACCAGTCTTACTTTTCTCTTGCCTACCAAGGTCCCTTTTCTGTCAGCAGTGAGTTTCTGGAGCAGGAGGACCTGAAGTTGAGTTTAGAGGCAGGGTTTTTATTAAGGAACAGCCTTGGGATCTGTGGAAGGGAGGAGAGCTCAAGAGGAAAGGATGAGAGCACGTGAGAGGAAACGAGAGCATTAAGTAAATCTCCACTGAAGCCTCAGTCAACACAACAGAGACTCAGGAGAAAGACTATATATACATCGTTCTCCTGTATATGACCAAAATGCCCCAATCTTTTTGGTGATTGTTTTACCTTTTTTTTTTTTTTAAGAATAATCATTCTGTTAGGAATATCCACAGGCAAATGTATGACAGCTCAGCAGTTTCTAGGTGGACAGTTTAGTGATATTCATTCCGTTCTTTGAGCTTGTGCCGCAATTCTCGCTGTGCTCTGAGTGGCTGTTCTGCCATTAGCATAGACTCCCTGCCCCCTGAGGATCTTATCTAATCCTTCCAGTTGCTGTTGCCAATCTCATCTATATAGATGGAACTTGAAAGAGCACAGTGCTCAAGGCAGGGCTGCTTTAGTAGTTAAGCTAAACTGTTGCTGGGTTTTCTGAAGATGGCAGGGGTTGGCGGAGCCTTTCTAAGGCTCCCTTCCATCCGTCACTAGATGTGGGCTGCCCTGGGAAGGGCTAGACTATGTGGGAGGCCAACTTGAGATTCACGGAGTCCCTGATGGGCTGACAGATGAAAGTTGTCCTAAGACAGCAGGAGCAACAATGCCTTTCTTGCAAGCGAATCTTGGTGGGGAATTTCTACATTCTTCAGACTTTCTTTGTGCATTGATAGCCTGGTTATTTTTTATTTATTTTTTTTAAATTGGCTCAAAGGGCATTTCAAACTTTTGCTTTTAATTAGATTGAATAGTTGCATGCACACTCACACACACACAGAGCGAGCGAATGTGAGCGAGAGTGCATATTAGATTATTGTTGAGATTTGTTTCTGTTCTCTTTAGAATAATAAATGTTGAAGACCGGCATTTCCTTCTCCTAAGCTCACTGTTAGGACTGGCTTTCTGCTTGACTCCCCCTTGATCCTCAATAAAGGTCATAAAAGAAGAAATGATTATCATGCATTGTCCTTTCCGGTTTCCCTCAGCAATACTTGTACCAGAGTAGAAGCAGCGTCAATGAAGAGGAGGCTGATAAGCTGAGTTACTGACATAAGGACGCTAAGGCAGTTTTGAATTGGATATTGTGTGGTCTTTTAACATTACGCATCGCGAGGACAGTGTGGCCAACCATTTTACAAATGAAGCCCATTCATCATGGAGGGCTTAATGGGATGGGGGCATATCCATCACCACCACTGAGTCAGGATCTGCTGATTCCGGTCCCGGCTCAGCACAGGACGCAAAGTCCGTGTCCTTCAATTGTTAAGACACAGAGGTTGTGCCCAGCATAACTTCAGAATACGATGAGGGGAAAATGATGTCCCTTATGTAACTATCTGACCTATTTATTCACTGAGAAACTGACAAAATAAGCAGGTCAGGAAGGAATTAAGACAACGGGCTAATCCACTCCTAAATAATACATTTAGCTATCAAAGGAGCTTGATGAATATATATGCAAAGATTTCCCATTTTCAACTCATTACCACCTTTAGTGAGCATTTTTTAAAAAAATAAATCCTTTTAAAGTGCTATGAAGTCAGATGTAATACTGTATCCTAAAATTTTCATCAAATCTTTTATAAGAAGGTGACCAACTTTGGAGCTGCTAAAAGGTGCATTTACCCTTAAGTCATGTGCTAAAATCTACATGAAGAAGCAAAAGAAAGTGTTCTGTGTATAAGCACAGAAAACAATAGATGTATATTATCTGATCCAATGTTAGTAATAACAGCCTGTATTATTCTTGCAAGCAAAGTTCTTGTTTGGTGAGAACTATGGTGTCTGATATGCACTGTGGTTTATCTTAGAGAACTCGCTCAGTAAGTAATTCTTTAAGAAAATACCCAGGCAGCTTCTTGTATAGTGAAACCTAGGAAACAACTGATTAGATTGGATTATTGTATGAGATTTGTTAAACTTTGAAAAAAAATTTTTCTGCTGAATAGTGTTTGCACACAGCTTGGGCAAGAGATGTAAAAAATAAATAAATAAATAAATTCATGAAAAAACCCCCAGACCAGGCCATCCTCAGCTTTTGGAATGTACATATTACTGTTTTCTTTTGTTGGTTTTGTTATTTTTTTAAATATTTTTCTATTTATACGTTTTTTATTTAAATGAATGTTTACAGAGACTTAAGGTTTCTGGTCATTCATTGTTGCACTTTTCTTTCTGCCCACCCTCTCCCCCCCAATTCACTCTTCTCCTTGAAAAGAAAAACTCTTTGATTGTTATGCAGTCCCTTCCCCCAAGTCCACTCCACTGTGCAGCCTTCATTCTGGACTCCTGTCATGACAAGAATACCCATTCATATATCCCTCATCTGTTTCAATACAACATACATCATTCCTCCCCTCCTTTTCTATCTTCCCTGAACCCCAGTACAAGTCCTGTTTTACAGTAGTGGCCCTATGCAATATTTGTCCTTTTGTGACTGAGATATTTCACTCAGCATAATGACCTCCAGGGTCACCCATTTTGTGTAATATTTCATGAGTTCCTTGTTTTTCAATATAGCATACGTAGTATTCCTTTGTGTGAATATACCAGAACTTCTGTATCCATTCATTTGTTGATGGGCACTTGGGCTGTTTCCAGCTCTTTGCTATTGCAAAGAAAGCCACAATAAACATGGGTGTGCATTGATTTTGTTACTTATTTTAAACAGACAATCTGGTTTCTGTATTTTTGTTGGTTAAGTTAATAAAGAGTAGACATCAGTCTAAATTATGGTATAAACTTGGGAATTTTGTTATATTAAATTATGTCATTTAATTTTTATATTAATCTTTAGAAGATGGAGGCCTTAAAAGGTTGTACAGGCAGTCTAATTTATAAAACAGAAATAACAAACCCTATGTTTGGATTTAAGCTTTTGTTTGAAAACTCTGTTCAGACTAGTCACATAGCCGTTAGTTTGGCTATTCATGCTGTGTTAAAATGGACAATGTATAGTAAGTCTTCAGATAAAAACATGTCAAGTGCTGCATGCAAATTACTGTTCAACACTGTCAATGGGAACTATAAAATCAACACTTCTATAAACATGAAATTAATTATGTCACAGAATCCAAGGTTGATAGTAAAAATGTTCAATAAGTGATTTGGTTAAAACATCTGACAGAGTACATGCTTGACCAATTAGAATGTGCTGGTCTCAGGATGAAATCTATGTCTAATTGGCCCTCTAGTTCTCATTAATTGTTACTGAAAATTGAGGATTTCCCCATTCTGCCCTGGCAAGTCTTGATCAAGGAATGCTTATGAAATTTGTCTTATGAAAATTCTTTCCATGCAGGTCAAAAATGTAATGAAAAATATCATGGCGGGATTGCAACAAACCAACAGTGAAAAGATTCTCCTGAGTTGGGTCCGACAATCCACTCGTAATTATCCCCAGGTCAATGTCATCAATTTCACTACCAGCTGGTCTGATGGCCTGGCTTTGAACGCGCTCATCCATAGTCATAGGTAAGGAATCATTGAATCATTTTCAGAAGGATAGATTTTGAGACTGTTGGGATTTCTCTCCACAGTGTGGTTCCAGCCCATTTTAAGCTGATACTATGTTATGCATGATTACCACATACATCAGAACATTCATCCAAATGAATTACATGGAATATTCGTGTCAGTCTCACATCCAGTATTTGACTTGTGGAATGTTACAATTAATGGAGTAAGACTGGTTATGAGGGGGGTGTCTACGTGTTTGAAATTGTGACTGTTCTAGAAAATGCAAGATATAGCCTAACATTGTTGGAATGGATTAGCTTCTTTATAGAAATAATTAGCATAAGCTACAAAGCTGAAAATGATACAAAATTTCATGTTAATAAGTGTAAAATTAACCACTCTTATAAGAGAGATAATGTGGGAAAGATCCAGTCGTTTGGGCCTGTGCACAGTTAGATAGACTATTGCATTATGACCTGTATATATTCTTATAGTTCAGAATTAAAAGAGCCTCTGACTATTTTAGCAACCAAGGCAAAAAGCAGAATCCAATTATTCCTATGATTCAGTGCTCTGCGGATCAAAATAAACAATTAGTCTGGGAGAACAAAAGCATTCTTATACCATATGAGAGAATGCATCTCAATGTGACAGAGTGAACTAGATATTCTCAGCCATATTCCTCAAAATAATAAATCTGCTCTCAAGGACCCCTGTAAAGTGCTGAAGAGTAAGGATGCCAGTTTAAAGACGTAGGTGTGTCTGATCTAAGCTGTGGTATTTTTAATTGCTTCCTATGCATGTAAATGTTGGAGAACTAATTACAAAGTCCAAGGAACAATCAATGCCTTTGAATGTGGGTGTTGGATAAGAGTATTGAATACTGCCAAAGATATCAACAAATCTGTCTGGGAGAAAATGCAGCCATAGTGCTCCTTAGAGGCAAGGGTGGGGAGACTTCACCTCGCGTATTTTCAGGACATTGTTAGGAGGGATTAGTTCTTGGTAAGACATCACGCTAGGAAAGAGAGAAAAATCCTGAGCAAGATTAATTGCCACAGCGACTATAACAGCGGGCTTGAGCATGATAGAAATAGTGAGGGTGAAACAGGCTAGAAAAGGTTTCAATCTGTTTTTCCCAGAGTCACTGGGAATTGTGGTCAGTCAGTGGCTTGATTGGTAAGCTAGTCTGCATTTCCCTTGCTTGCTGGAGTATCTGACACTGCCAGTCTTATTTAAGAAAAGTCCAGAATAGACATTTTCCTGAGGATAAAACTCAACACCAGAGCAAATGCTCTCGAAATAAGCATCTTTGCCCACTGTTTTTGTCCAGGTGCATTTAAGTGGCCTAGTGGTAAGATCACATCAGATAAGAGCTGCAGTCCCAAAGGTACAGCGTTCAAATCCACCAGTTGCTCTGCAACTGCCTCTAAAAACCCACTGAAGGGTCAACTATGAGTCACTTCTAGCTTGACAACACAAAACCACAACAACAACATGATGACCAAAGTGGAGTGACTGGGTGGCACAGATGGTTAAGCTGAAAGGATGACAATTGGAAGCCGTTTAGATGCACTGCAGAATATAGGCTAGCCAAGCAAACTATTTCAGAAAGGTCTCAACTATGTATAGGCTTAGTATGAGTCAAGATTCACTAGCAGGCAACTACCAACTAGATAACAAAATACTGGTTTAGTTTTTCTTAAAACACAGAAAGCATAATAGGAAATCTGTCTGTCTATACTTTTAGCCTAACGATTATCTATTTTGGTCTGGATACTACCCATGTGTGTTACCCAACCCAGTCCGTAGGTCAAATACATTGCCAATTGCTTTGAAGTGAGTATTGTTTTGAAGTGTCACTGAATTGTATCTTCCCTGTTTTTCCAGTGTGGTGGTGGTAAGTGCCATCGAGCTGAACACTACTCATAGTGACCCTATGAACAAAAGACCTGAACCCTGTTCTAGAACTATCAGCATTTCTCTAAGTTGATAGAGTTCCCAGAGGCATGTTGTTTAGGGAGTGGATGCCACTCCTGCTTCCAAGCTTGTCTTAATCTGGGAACTCCACCAAACACTGTCCAACATGGGTATCTATTATGGCATTTCACACACCAGTGGCACAGTGTTCAGCATCAAAGCAACCCGAAGTTACCTCCAAACAGCAAATTGACAGACCAGTGCTGTACCACTTAATAGTTCTTATTTTGTTCTTTGACTTTATTTAAATATATATGCCATTTTTCCTAAACCATTCTAATCAGGAGAAGATTACCGGATAAGCAAAGTAAACATGGTGCTTCTTCACCAATTTCTACCCAACAATTTCATGTGGAGCTTATCTTGTCAGTGAACTGTTCTCAACTCATTGCCATGGAGTCAGAACTGACCCATAGCTGCTTTTCTGACACTGTGAATCTGGAGAGGAGATTGCCCATCTTTCCCTCATGGGGCTGCTGGTGGATTTGAACCTCCAGAGATGTGCAGTGTTGGAGTTAGCAGTGTAACTCTATGGACTATGCCACAAGCGTTTTCCCATCTCTGTCAGGGACTGTAAACTAGTAAAGAAACTTCGACTCTGTATGGAAGGTGCTGTGGGGTTGGGGTACGTTGCTGATGTGGTGATAACAATGTGGACTTGTTCCCTACAGATTAATAAGTAAACACCCATAAACCCTTGTTTACCTTGCTTCTGGCATCATCTGACACTGCTAGTCTTGCTTCAAAAAAAGTCCAGAACAGACATTTTTTCCACAGTTCAAACTCAATCCCAGAGCAGCCACTCTCTAAATAAGCATCTTTGCCTACTCTCTTGTTCCAGCTGAGTTTAATTAACCCCATCCAAACTGAGTTTCCGGGTGAGTGACTCAGCATCCGCATTTCAGGAAGAAGGCTGACTCGCACCCACTTGGCATGTTGAGAGATGTTAGCGCATTATTTTCCCTAAGTGCGACATGAAGGGAGATATTCCACAGCAACAGTTGAGCCAGATGAGGACGGACAGAAAGAGACACTCATGCTGCATTGCAAGGCCACCCTTATTTATGCAGCCACATGCTTTGCAGTAAGAGCCTGGGAATATTGATCTTGCTATTCATGCACACATTTGCAGATGAACCCAAAAAATTGAGCACCAGGTCATGTTGTCCTTGTTGGCTCTTCAACGTTTACTCTTCAAGTGGAGGCCTTCGACACGACGAGCATGCCCATGCACTGCATTTGTTAATACCCCCTTTCACGATTTCTGAATATAATTGTGGATAATAGAGTAAACATATTCAGCGTGCCCTGCTACATCTGCCTAGGACCCACACGCTCTCTTTCAAAAATGTCTTCATTTATCCTCCTTTCTTCCTGTTTTATTACACAGCTCATCAGAAACTCATGATTTAGAAGTTACATGGCCAATTTGCAGATGCTTCCTCACATTTGATTTCTGATCTTTCATGGATAATCTCTCCCTTATTTTTGTTTTGTTTCTTTAAAGGGAGAGGGGGAAAAAAAGATTGAATTCTCTTTTCCAAGGTGATTGTCACTGGTACACTTACAGATGACAGAGGTGTCCTTATTTCAATAATTGAGTGACTAAGCTCTATAAAATACAGGCATGTGCTTAATATAGAACGTAGGGATTGACAAAGGACCTTGCTAAAGGTCAGGATTGTGCGAACTGTTTATCTATTTAAAGGTTATTTTTATTTTAAGATGTACACAATTAAGAGTTCTGTGTTAAGACTCAGAGCTCCTTCTGCTGAAATGAAGCCACATCCTACTTTTGTTGGAAAATTGAATAAATTGAAAATATGCTCGAGGTAGGCAAAGAATTTTTAAGTATACAGTTACAAAATTAATTTTAATTCTTTATCATTATAGAAGTTGCTGTTAGGTGCCACCAAGTATGACACATAACGATCCTGTCAACAACAGATCTGAACCCTGTTTTATTCTGTCCCAGCCTCACAATCTCTGACACACTCAAGCCCATAGCTCCAGTCACTATGTCAGTCCACCTCATTGAGAATCTTCCCCTTTTTCACCGACCCCCTACCCCTTATAATGTGCCATTAAGAAATAGTACAGTCTTTTCTCCATTTATTAAGATGTTGCTTATTGGTCCATTTGCAAGGATTATTGTTGGCTTTATGTTGAAGCTTTTCTTTATCCATACTGATTGCTACAGTCTGCAATCTTCTTCAGTAAGTGCTTCCAGTCCTTTTCAATTTCGGTAAGCAAGTTGTGTCATCTGAGTATTATAATCTTGAAGCCACCGTGTTCATTTAGTCCATTTTATGACGTTGTTGTTGTTGTTATGTGTCAATGACTCATAGCAACCCAATTTGGAAGAGCTCTGAAGCCTGCCCTGTCCTGAGCCAGTCTCACTGACTCCAACACATCTACCTCCATATATATAGAGATGGATTAATAGAGTAACTCTAATATATAGAGTTACTCTATTAATCCATCTCTATATATATGGAGGTAGATGTGTAGAGTTACTCTATTAATCCATCTCATCCAGGGTCTTCCTCTCCTGTGCTGTCCCTCCATCTTTCCAGGCATGATGTCCTTCTCCAACAAGCTTCAGAATCCTAGCCTCCAAGGAGAGACTTGATTTCACCCTCTCCAAGACAGACCTAGACCTATTTGTTTTCTTGGCAGTCCATGGTGTGCTCAAGACTCTTCCCTAGCACCACAACTCCAAAGCATCTATTCTTCTTCTGTCATTCTTAGTTATTGTCCATCTCTCTGATGCATAGCAAGTAATTGTGAAGATCAGGTAACCCTTAGCGTCTAGACTGAAATAATTTCTTCTCAGTACTCTGAAGAGGACGTGGAACAGATTTTCCCAGTTCAATTTCTCTTTCGATTTCGAGTGTTAGTTGATTTTGGAGCCTGGCAAACTGTAATTGTTAACAACCTCAAACTCTTCTCGATCTATCATGGTGCTGCCAAATGGCCCAGTGGTAAGACTCTTTGTGTTCTTGACGATGAGCTTCAATCTGTATTGAAAGCTA